TGAATGAGTACAAAAAACACCCATTTACCGATTTCAACTACCAAATAAAGTGGTCAGAAACTGGCAATTTGGTCAGTTTCACACAAATTTCAAAATAGGGTCCAGAATAAACAGTGCAGACATTCCTGGCACTAAAATAACATTTTCTTTGTCCATTAGTCATGTCTCCAGGCTAATCTTAAATTATTCTTGCTTTCCATTTTGAATTTTTATTCTCACAAAAAATAGATTTACTCTTATGCAGACTACTGCATTATTATAATAATTGTATAAATAATGTCGGCACATTCGTGACTGCGTATTAGACTGGCCAGTTGGACACGTATTGGACAGTGACGTCATTTGTTTACTCTTGAATATTGGGAAAAATCGAACATTTCTGCTAATTTGAGCTCAATTTCAAGGTACTGTTCATCGTGAAACAAATCAAAATCATCTCCTTTACTGTAATGTATCTTCCATTCTGTCAAATGAGACCAAGAAAATGAGAATAGTCATAAATACCATACAAAAATACACTGCAAAGTCGCTGTTTTAAACCCCAAAAAAAACATGGTCGGAGGTTTTTTTTTCTCATTATGCACTGCATGCTGCAGAATTTTTTTTTTATACTGTGCACACTGACCACACAGACCCATTCTTTTATATGTAGGCCTACCAGCTTTCTTCCACCGACCGACACTGGCTCTCAAGCCGTGATATTACAGGACTGACACTGAAAAGGTTAAGTGAGGAGAGGCTGTATAGGGTTTCCTACTATCCATGGTTTCAGGTATCCACAGTAGATCTTGGAATGTATCCCCCATGGATACGGGAGGGGGGACTACTGTAATTTTTTTTTTTAAAACTATCCATGGTTTCAGGTATCCACAGTAGATCTTGGAATGTATCCCCCATGGATACGGGAGGGGGACTACTGTAATTTTTTTCTTTTTTAAAGCTAACCCTCTCCCACCGAGGCAGGGTGACCCAAAAAAGGAGAAGCATCATTAAGGTTTTCTTATTTTTAGCAATTTATACAGGGGAAGGGGTTACTAACCCCCTTTCTCCTGTACAGCCTCTCCTCACTTAGCAACGTACTCGTTTACCAATGACTCAGACTTACAATGGGGGCTCTGGCCAGTGTGCATACCTAAATAATGTATATTAGAGCTGGTTTCTCCTGTTCTGTTTATTACAATATACAGTACACTACTGTATAAACATTTTAAAAAAATGTTATAAATGGTGCAAAGGTGACATTAAAACAATGTCAAAGATGGTTGACATAAACCCACTACCATTATGGTATGCTCCTTGCTTAGCGACGAATTTGTTTGCCAACGTGGTCTTAGGAATGGAACTCCATCATTAAGTGAGGAGAGGCTGTATTTTAAGATGAAGTATTCTTTTTTGACTTCCCTATGGGGATGAAAGGAAATGGATAAGAACAAGAACTGTTTAAAAAAATAGATGAAAACTGATAAGTGTGTGTACCCATACATGTACATACATATGCAGTGTGCCCTAAGTGTAAGTAGAAGTAGCAGTCTTCCATGTTTATCAGACAGAAAAGATGCCATTAAGCCTACCATTGTGTAAAACAGTTACAGGTTTCCATTTCAAACTCATTTGGAAAGATAGTAGTAGCTTCCTGGGTGGTAGCTGTCTACCAACTTACTACTTTATATTTGTTTATTGTGCTTTTAGGACACATTTGGCCGAGCCAAGACTTGGGTAAAGGAACTCCAAAGGCAGGCATCCCCCAACATTGTGATTGCTTTAGCAGGCAACAAAGCAGATTTAGCCAATAAAAGGATGGTGGAATATGAGGAGGCTCAAACCTATGCAGAGGAGAACTCCTTGCTTTTTATGGAAACCTCAGCCAAGACTGCTATGAATGTTAATGATATTTTCTTGGCAATAGGTGAGTAACTTAAAATTAATAAGGACTAATCAGTGTAATTTACATGTGTGGTATTTGTTTTAAATACAGTGGACGCCTGTGTTTCGGTGGCCGCGACTTTCGTGAAATCCGACTTTCAGCAGCTTTTTTCATCAAGATATAGTCTCGCGGTTCATGATTGACCCGTGATTCGTCCGTTGTATGGGACGCGTCCATGCAGCCAGGAGCAGCCGGGCGTACACAAAGGCTACCACACAACATTCAGAGAGTCAGTGTGGTATGATTTGTGGGCGAGTGACCATCACCTCACAGGTTCATACGATACCTTTCATAATAATCCATTGTTTTTTGTGCTTGCAACTGCTAAATAAGCCACCATGGGCCCAAAGAAAGCTCATAGTGCCAGCCCTTTCATAAAGAAGGAAAGAAACACGATAGAATTTGAGAAAAAACCTGTAGCAAAGTACCAAAGTGGAGGGGGAAGAGAGAGAGAGAGAATGTGCCTTCTTCAGTGATTCTGTGATATGTACGATACTAAAGCAGCAGGTATACTATAGCGCCAGCCAGCAATAAAGTGTAGCATTAACAGTGTAGCAAGTAAGTTAAGTGATTAAGTGAGGGAAAAATGACACGAAAGTAACTCTCCAATGTTGTTGGTGTATAGGACCACTGAACATATGCCGCCCTGCTATCTTCCACCACCCTAAACCTCTGCCAGCATCTCCTCCATCAAACTAATTGAACTAACATCTCCAAGTTAAATGTAAATATTTCTTATTTGTAAATAAGTGTAAATATCTCTTATTAATAAATTACGTACATTGTTTGTGTGAATAGTGGTGGTGGCTTCTGCTGCAGCCTCCACCACCACTAATATGTATGGCATCTCTGTGGCCCTTATAAACCCAACAACAACACTACCACCATCGCCACTAGTAACATACGGAGTTGTTTAGTTTAATATGTTTATTATGCACCCCATACCCATCCTGTGGGCGGTAGTCAAAAGATTACAGAGGTACATAATGAGTCCAGGGACTGGGCCTCAAAGTTTTGATGGCTGAGCAAGTTACAGAGGTAATGAATTCACAATTTACAAAGGTAATGAACTCACAATTTACAAAGGTAATGAACTCCAGGTAGGTCTAGTCACAATCATGACAAGTTACAAAGGTATTAACAGATGGAGTGACATATTTTATTAATTCTAGAGTATATATCATGTTTCTGTTATTAATATTGTTTATTGTGTTATTTATCTATCACAATTCATCCGGTATAAGCCATAGAGATGATATTAGCGTCATATTGAAGCATAATAAACTCTCCTCCCTCTCACCTTCTACCTGTCTGCCATACACCAACAAGAGTCTTGAATAAAGGTAAGTGTGATGTTAAATGTTCATTTATCCATTTTATTAGTGCTTTATATTTATTTGTCATTGTTTTCTGTATGTAAATCTATATTTAATCTTTGAAAAAAAAAAATTTTTGTTAATACTTTTGGGTGTCTGAAATGGATTAATTGGATTTCCATTATTTCTTGTGGGGAAAATGGTTTCGCTGTTCGTGAATTTCGCCATTCAGCAGACTCTGGAACAAATTAATCACGAAACTCGGGGGTCCACTGTATGTGCATTAGGAAATAACTCTGTGCTCAGTATAAGTTGTAATTTTGTGTGACATCGACATTTTTGCGTTTTGAATGTGTGTGTGTGTGTGTGTGTGTGTGTGTGATGGAGTGGCTGTTTGTATACGATTTTGTATCCCCATGTTTCAGTATTAGTGTAATAGTGTTAATCAAATTTACAATTCAATTTTAAGCTTTGTTTATTATTTATGATTGTAATGCTATACTGTGCATTGCTTGAGATTTGGCATTCAGTATATTTGGATTAGGATAATAAAATTGTCGTTTTAATTTGTAGCTGTGTACCTTTTGTGTGACCATTTAGGGATTTAGAGAAATAATTAAAGCATGTTCAGTTCAGTGGGAGGCACTTTTTTTTTTTTTGTCAGTTTCTATAATAGTTTAGTTGCATTATATAAATAAAATTTAGCATACACACTTGGGTGTGCACACACATTGGCATGGTACCCACTCAGTGTAACATTTACAAATATTTTCAGTTTGAAATGAAGGGTGTGGTATATTGTTATGAAGACATAAATATTGTATTGACATACGTTCAGTTTTAAACAACGAAAATTATTATGGTAAATATTAAATATTAGTCACTGGTTTTATATATTTCAGCTAAGAAATTGCCAAAGAGTGACAGTAATGCCAGTGGTTCTGTCAGTGGTAATGTCAGCCTGTCTAATAACCAGCCAGCGCAGGGTACTGCTGGCTGTTGCAAGTGATCACCTTTATTACAGGTAAGAAAACATTGGTAATAAATTTAGGATTTTTTTTTTAGGCCAAGCAGCTTTTTTTTTTTTTTTTTTTTTAACAAGTCGGCCATCTCCCACCGAGGCAGGGTGACCCAAAAAGAAAGAAAATCCCCAAAAAGAAAATACTTCCATCATCATTCAACACTTTCACCTCACTCACACATAATCACTGTTTTTGCAGAGGTGCTCAGAAACACAACAGTTTAGAAGCATATACGTATAAAGATACACGACATATCCCTCCAAACTGCTAATGTCCTGAACCCCTCCTTTAAAGTGCAGGCATTGTACTTCCCATTTCCAGGACTCAAGTCCGACTATGTAAAAATAACCGGTTTCCCTGAATCCTTTCACTAAATATTACCCTGTTCACACTCCAACAGATCATCAGGTCCCAAATACCATTCGTCTCCATTCACTCCTATCGAACATGCTCATGCATGCCTGCTGCAAGTCCAAGCCCCTCGCCCACAAAAACCTCCCTTACCCCTTCCTTCCAACCTTTTCAAGGACGACCCCTACCCCGCCTTCCTTCCCCTACAGATTTATACACTCTCCATGTCATTCTACTTTGATCCATTCTCTCTAAATGACCAAACTACCTCAACAACCCCTCTTCAGCCCTCTGACTAATACTTTTATTAACTCCACACCTTCTCCTAATTTCCACACTCCGAATTTTCTGCATAATATTTACACCACACATTGCCCTTAGAACCTCTCCACTGCCTCCAACCGCCTCCTCGCTGCTGCATTCACAGCCCAAGCTTCACATCCATATAAGAGTGTTGGTACTACTATACTTTCATACATTCCCCTCTTTGCCCCCATAGACAGCGTTTTTTGTCTCCACATATACCTCAACGCACTACTTGCCTTTTTTTCCCTCGTCAATTCTATGATTAACCTCATCCTTCATAAATCCATCCGCCGACACATCAACTCCCAAGTATCTGAAAACATTCACTTCTTCCATACTCCTCCTCCCCAATTTGATATCCAATTTTTCTTTATCTAAATCATTTGATACCCTCAACACCTTACTCTTTTCTATGTTCACTTTCAACTTTCTACCTTTACACACACTCCCAAACCCATCCACTAACCTTTGCAATTTTTTATTAGAATCTCCCATAAACACAGTACATATCATCAGCAAAAAGCAGCTGTGTCAATTCCCATTTTGTATTTGATTCCCCATAATTTAATCCCACCCCTCTCCTGAACACCCTAGCATTTACTTCTTTTACAACCCCATCTATAAATATATTAAACAACCATGGTGACATTACACATCCCTGTCTAAGACCTACTTTTACCGGGAAGTAATCTCCCTCTCTCCTACACACCCTAACCTGAGCCTCACTATCCTCATAAAAACTCTTTACAGCATTTAGTAACTTACCACCTATTCCATATACTTGCAACATCTGCAGCATGTTGAGGTGTTATTTAAATAAGAGTTTTGTAGCACTTCACCAGCCAGAATTTAAGCATTTTTCAAGTTTATTAGCCATCAGAATTGAAGAATTTCTTCTTGACTCTGTGATTTATATTGCACTTGTCAGCCCCAATATTTCATCATTGATGATTTATTTAGCATTCACTAATTTCTTTAGATTTACGGAACTAGTTTTGGATGTCTTCTATGCAATGATTTTTATAATATCTTTTAATTATTTATAGTCCCAAGTTGTTGAAATGTTTTGTAATGGAAAAACTGGTAAATGTGATGACTTTTGGTGCATATCAGATTTCCTTGTTTTGTTAGTGTATTACAATACAGTAATGCATAAAGGAAAGAACACCAAATGGATTTTATAAAACCTAGCTTTTTTGGATGACTTTTACTCAAGATTTGTAATATACAGTAATGTAGTGTATATTGTAGCTTTGCAATGCTTCAGGTCCAACATCCAAAGTTTGTGATGCTTAATTCTTGCTTAGAACTTTCCTTCCTTGAATATGGCTTTATGTAGAGTAACATTTACTAAAGAATTTCAAGCTGGTTTATTAGTCGTTAAATTGAGTAAAGCAGCTGTCATGTGCTTGCACTGGTTAACCCTTTGACTGTTTCGGTCGTGTATATACGTATATGTCTTACAAGCCACAGTGTTTGACGTATAAATACTCAAAAATTCTAGCAGCTTCAAATCAAGCAGGAGAAAGCTGGTAGGCCCACATGTGAGAGAATGGGTGTGTGTAGTCAGTGTGCACCAAGCAAAAAAAAGTCCTGCAGCACGCAGTGCATAATGAGAAAACAAAAAACTCCAACCGTGTTTTCGGATTAAAACGCCAAATTTGTGGTGTATTTTCGTATAGTATTTATGGTTGTATTCTCATTTTCTTTGTCTCATTTGATAGAATGGAAAACATATTATAGAACCTTGAAATGGACATCAAATTAGGGGAAATGTTGGAAATTTGCCAATGTTCAAAAGTAAACAAATGATGTCATTGTCCAATAAATGTTCAACTAGCCATTCTAATATGCAATCATGAATGGGTTGACATTATTTATACAATCATTACAATATTGCAGTAGTCTGCATAACAGTAAATCTTCTATTTTTTGTTTGAATAAAAATTCAAAATAGAAAGCAAGAGTAATATAAAGTGGGGCCTGGGGAGGTGACTGATGAACAAAGAAAATGTTATTTTAGAGCCAGGAATGTCTTCATTGTTCATTCTGGACCCTATTTTGAAATTGGCATATTTTTTAATTTGTGAGAAATAGGCCAAATTGCAAATTTCTGACCACGTCATTGGGTAGTTGAAATCGGTAAATGGGCAGTTTCTTGTACTCAGTCGATAGAACAAATGGAGTTCTAAAGAAATAGCTATGAGTTAGGTCAACTGGAACAATGGAATTAGCCGAAAATAGGGCTCAAATTCGACAAAATCGCTAACTTTGCAAGAGCGTAATTCCATAAGTTTTCCATCAAATTTTCTTCTTTTGGTGTCATCACCATCAGGAAAAGATTCTCTATCATTTCATAAGAAATTAATTTTTTTTTTCTTTTTCAACACCAGGAGACACCTCGGGATTTGGGATTGCGACAGTCAAGGGGTTAATAATACAGCCTCTCCTCAATTAGTGATGTACTTGTTTACTGATGCCTCACTTACAACGGGCTCTCTGACCACTATTCATACCTAAATAATGTATATTAGAGCTGATTTCCTTTATCCTGTTTATTTCAGTATACAGTAGGGCCTCACTTTTCGGCGTTTCGCCTTACGGCGATTTGCTAATACAGCGATCTCATATTATGACCAAAACTCTCTATACGGCAAGTGGTCTTTCAAATACGGCATGGCCACCCGGTTTGTTTACATTGTCCATAAGCACATCTCTCTATTATGTAATAATAATCACTCTTGGGCACATTAAATGTCTTATTTTACGTTAATATAGACATTTTCATTAATCCATCTATTATATTTTTTTAAAAATTATGTAAGAAATACGTTACATAACATATAAACATTTTGTTTATATACTATGGAGGTGTGGTAGCCGGGCGGATGGAAAATATTACGTCACTCCCCTTAATAACGCTTTTGTTTGCAATTCTCAGCATGAATTATTCATTACTTCTCCCTTTGTTTATGATATCTAAAGGTAGTTGATAGAAATGATTAAACTCAGTGAACATGGTATGTCGATGGTAATATGTCTCTGGGCCACATTAAATATCGTGTAGCTGTATAGGTAGGTGTAGGTATGTTGCCCAGGTGGACTACATACCTACATTATTATTATAACTGATAATTATACGTATGTGCACCTGTACCTAAGTAAACTTACACGCTGTGCTGGCTTGCAGGTACACATTAAAATCACTAAGAGTGTCTTATTAGTCTTGAAGACGCCATGTTAATAATGACAATAATAATAACAATAATCACTAAGGAGCATTAAATATCGTATAAAATGTTAATATAGACATTTTGCTTAATCCATCTAAATACACCCCACAGTAGAATAAACTAACATAAATATGAGATATGGTAGCCAGGTGACTTGTAGGACTTGTGGTAGCCAGGCGACTTGTAGTAGCCAGGCAACTTGTGGCAGCCAGGCAACTTGTGGCAGCCAGGCAACTTGTAGGATTTGTGGCAGCCAGGCAACTTGTAGGATTTGTGGTAGCCAGGCAACTTGTAGGACTTGTGGTAGCCAGGCAACTTGTAGGAGTTGTGGTAGCCAGGCAACTTGTAGGACTTGGGGTAGCCAGGCAACTTGTAGGACTTGGGGTAGCCAGGCAACTTGTAGGACTTGTGGTAGCCAGGCAACTTGTAGGACTTGTGATAGCCAGGCAACTTGTAGGACTTGATAGCCAGGCAACTTGTAGGACTTGTGATGAAAACCAGACGCGCTCATCTGGTTTGCTTACATTATATGTAGGTGGGGTGGGAAGGGCTGCCCTTCCTGGCTACCCATACTTCCCAACCTGACTTCATACAAATAAAACTCACCTCTCACCCTTCATTAAGACTACATATATTTTAAGGTAATTAGCCCTTTGACTGTTTCGGTCGTATATATACATCTTATGCACCACTGTTTCTGACGTACAGTGGACCCCCGCATAGCGACCTTAATCCGTGCAAGAGGGCTGATTGTTATGTGAAATGTTTGGTATGCGAATGAATTTTCCCCATAAGAAATAATGGAAATCAAATTAATTCGTGCAAGACACCCAAAAGTATGAAAAAAAAAATTTTACCACATGAAATATACATTTTCCTACACACAAAGAGAAGGATACATGCACAATATATATTGTGCATGTACTACTATACTAAATGAAGAATAAATGACACTTACCTTTATTGAAGATGCAGCAATGACTGATGAGACACTATGTCCTGGGAGTGCCTTTTCCTCCTGAGTACTGTAGGTCCTGTTTGGCATTTTCTTCCAGAACAGGCCTTATCACACTGTGTATGCCACTACGATTCTTAAATCTCTCAAACCAACC